CTCCCCTTCCTGTCCAAGATTCTCGAAAGAGTCATCGCCTCCCAGCCGTGCTCTTTCCTCTCCACCCACTCACTTTTTGAACCCCTCCAGTCGGGTTTCCGTGCTGCCCATAGCACGGAAACTGCCCTGGTCAAGGTCACCAATGACATCTTGACCATCTGCGACCAGGGCTCCCTCTGCCTCCTCGTCCTCCTCGACCTATCGGCCGCATTCGATACAGTCGACCACTCTATCCTCCTCCACTGCTTGTCCTCCCACCTCAACCTTCAAGGCCCTGTCCTTGAATGGTTTAGGTCCTACCTCTCCCACCGTCTTCATTTTATCTCTGCAAACGGCTTCTCCTCCACCCCCCGCACTGTCTCGTGCGGTGTCCCTCAAGGCTCTGTCCTCGGTCCCCTCCTCTTCACCCTCTATATGCTCCCCCTTGGTGACATCATCCGCAGACATGGGGTTAACTTCCACATGTATGGGGATGACACCCAACTCTACCTTTCCTTGTCTACCCTCAACTTCACGACCACCGATGTCCTGACAGCTGCCTGTCCGACATCGAGTCCTGGACGAGTGACAACCTTCTTCAGCTCAACGTGCGCAAAACTGAGGCCCTCCTGATTGGCTCACGTCAGCGCCTCCGCACCTCAGGCGCGGACAGCATCAGCATCCAAGGCTGCACTCTCCACCTCTCAAAGTCAGTCAGGAACCTCGGGGTTCTGTTCGACCCTGAGCTGTCCTTTCTTCCTCATATCCGCGTCACAACTGGCACCGCCTTCCATCACCTCCGGAACATCGCCAGACTACGGCACTACCTCATCCCTCACGCTGCTGAAACCCTGGTCCACGCCTTGCTTTCTCCCTTTCCTCCTTCAAGGCCGGTCTCAAGACCTTTCTCTTCAACCGTGCCTTCTTGACTCTCTACCCCCTCCTCGCTCCCTCCCTTCCCTCCCCTCACCCTGACCATTTCCCCCCTGCTCGGGTCCCGACCCAACTGTCCAGCGCCTTGGGACGTCCTCCCGACGTGAAAGGCGCTCTATAAATGCAATCTTGTTGTTGTTGTATCCCCGGCATTGCTCTCGGCAGCCCCCAACTGATGTACAGAGACAACACTAGAGGTAGAGAATTCACTTCCAGTAATTAAATTTCAGGTTTCGCAAGAGAAAGTCCCTGCATACCCTGTAGCTTATTCAGATAGGGTGTCTTTCCATGTCGCAGGTTCTCCCTATACAGGCTTAGGTATTGCCATTTTTGAGGAATGACCAGCCAAAGCAACACACATTTGTATTAAAAGATTCACTCTGCTCAGTATGCAGACGCAGCTGCCGTGGCTGCTCTGTTAGAGATATAGTTACCAGGACAACAGCACGATTATCGTTCACTGGCAATTGCAACAGATTCAGCTTTTCTCGCTAATGCTGTCAGAATTCCTGCCTCATTGGCTTAAGTCAAACTTTACAGCAACTGACGGGAAACAAATGAAATATGCACCATTATTTGAATGTATTCACTAACTTGTGTCTAATCATCCCTGGCTCTTTTTTTTTTATCAAGTTCCACTTCTAGACAGCACAAGGAATTCCCTGGCTAATTTCTAAACTCTAAAGTGGTAAAAGGGGAAACTAAATGGGGATTACCCTCATCCAGCGCTGAATTTCCTTCAACAGCTGTGACTCAATCAGTAAGTGTTCCTCAATCTCTTAGCTTAGAAATCTTACAGAAATCAGATCCAAAGCTTCCCCAACAGAGCTCACCTTCAGAAACCTAAACATCCTGCACCAGCAGCAGCTTATGAGACACAACACTCAACCTTGATTGTTCCAGCGATTTCAGCAATATCAGAAGAAAGTAAAAGAGAAGAACGATGAAACAGCTGAAACAACTGCTAGAGATGAGGACTTTTGGTTCCTTTATTCAATGACTGCTATTACCAAGGTGCCAGTTCCAGAGAAATGAAAAGCAATAGATGCGGAGTTGCGTGTTGTGGTTAATGAAGTTCTAAAGCACAAGCTTAAGCACAGTACTTTACGGTGGATTGTCCCATATTCTAAGAGAAACCGCATGTTACATTTGGCCCACAATCGTCCGATCTTGCGTCACGCGGGAGCATCGAAGATACTGAGTGTTGGCTTAGGCTGGCAAGTTAAATTCAGAGATACTGTTAAAAACGGTCTTCTCTGTGAGGAAAATAATCTGATTCATAGAAGATCTGAGGCTCCCCTGCTCAGTGACAAGACGGTCCGTGGTCTCATGTTCAAATTGATTACACAGATCTGCTACCAACCACAGCCAATGGGGATAAATTTATCGTCGTCATAAATGACCCATTTTATAATAAATAATAATAATAATAATCCTTGCATTTGATATAGCGCTTTTCACGTCGGGAGGACGTCCCAAAGCGCTTCACAGAACACACTGTAAAGTGAATTGACTGTATATTTGTGGGCGAACGCGGCAGCCAATTGCGCACAGCAATGTCCCACAAACAGTCGTAGATTGAAAATGACCAATTTATTATTGTTTTGGGTTTTGGAGGGATTATTATTAGGCTCTGTGTGGAGTAAGGAAACTTGCCCAAGGTTTCGCCCTCTGCCTGGAATTGAACTCAGGTCTCTCACTTGCAAAGCGAGTGCTCTAACCACTGAGCTACAGAACTCCACTAAATGATCAGAGGCATTAATATTGGAGCGTGCTGAAAAGGAGGTTTATTTAATAATAATGAATAATAATAACAGTCCTTGCATTTGATGTCGTGCCTTATCATGTCTTCAACGTCTCAAAGCACTTCAGAGAATCTGGAAGCATTATTTAGTAGCTCCACCTGTGTACACCGTTTGCATAAATGAACTCTCTTAAGTACACGCTGACAACTTACGACGAGTATATCTAGCGGATCTGAAATCGACTGATTTGGCAATGTAGCCTAGCATCCCATTTGCCACGGTTTTTGCTGCTTCACACCATTTTGACATTGTCAAATTTTGAAGCAGAGGATTCATTCTGGTAGCAAACCTAGGTTCTGTCGTCTAGAGAAAACATTCTGCATTTGAATACGATTGAAATACTGAATCCTGTGTAGTTACGGGTCCGGTCGTGGCTCAGTTTTAAAGAAGTTTCAGACCTGACCCAAGCTTCAATCACGATTTGCAATTAGGCTTTCAACTCCTGGGTGTCAAAAACATTCTGCGCCTGTCTCCAATAAATAATCCTGTTTTTAAAAGGTTTTACATTGCTGAACAATGTTGGTCATAGGATTAAGCAGGTTTTTTTTTNGCAAGGTCTCAGAATAGCTGTATGAATTATTTC